GGCCGCTGGTCGGTAGAATGAAAAGGACTTGTGCTTGAGCAGAATAGGTTTGGACTCGAAGGCAGCAGTCTGTTCGGCGAGAGCGAGAAGAGCGTTGAAGAGAAGCAGAAAGAACAGAGTACCGCCACGAGGGAACACGCCGTCGGCTGCGGGAGCGAGATTGAAGAACAGGCTGCCGACAATGAGGCCCTGGAATACGAGGCCTCCCCATTTGCCGAATAGAGATGCGCGATCTCCGGTCATGACAAGGAACTGGCGCCTGGTGCATGCGATGACTTGCTGATGGAAGGGGAGGGTGTAGTTCTTCTTCGTAATCTCTGACGAGGCAGCTTCGCGCTGTTGACGCTGCTCGACGAGCGCCGACTCAAAGTCCTCAACGTCGGCCAGATTCTTCCGGTACGAATCGCTTTTCTTGTAGGCTTCGTAGAACTCCTCGGGGCTTCTAGGGATGCGGTTCTCCCATCCCTTGCGAACGCTGCGCTCATGAGGGTCACTGACTGAGGTGAGGAAGTCGGCAGTGGTCCAGCGGTCGGGGCAGTCGAACCCAAGGTCCATGAAATACTGCTTGGCGTTGTCGGAAGGTCCATAGTATAAACACTTGCCGCCGTCGATGAGCAGAACTTTGTCTGCAAGATCGTAGAGAGACTCTCCAGCCTGATAGAGTGACACGGCAGTTGAGACGTCTGCCATGTTGGTCATGGCACGGATGGCGCGAACATATTCCAGTGCAGTGCTCGCGTCGAGACCCTTGCTGGAGTTATCCCAGCCCTGGACAGAGGCTCTGGTGATCATGGCTTCAGCAATACTGACGCGTTTGCGCTCGCCTCCTGATACGCCACGAATGTACTCGTTGCCAACTTTGGTACCGAGGGTGTGCTCAATCCAGAACAATTTGGTGACCACCCTCATGAACTCGTTGATATAGTCCTGACGACTCTCGCCTTCGAGTCGAGAGTGCTTGCCCGGAGCTCGGGTCTGCAACGCAAACTTGAGCGTCCTCTTCACTGACAACGTAGCGTAGTGGAGATCATCTTCGGGGTTGTAGATAACCTCGCCACGGTAGTTCTTGGACATCTCCTGCGCCTCAGTGCCGCCATATGTAACGTCGCCCTCGACGGCTTCGAAGCCAGAACGTTGGTTGCAAAAGGCCTTGAGAAAGGTCGTACATCCCGAGCCAGGACGGCCCAGGACAAGGAGGAGCTCGCCAGGTCGCACACACCCATCGAAGTGGCTGATGAGCTCGCGAACGGGCGGCTTGGCAATGCCTGCCTTAGCGCCCTTTGTCAAGAGGGTTTTCAAGGTCCGCGGAAGCCCCATGAAGATGTCGCCGACGGTAGGCTGGAGACTGGCACCGAGACCGACGCCCTTGACGGTCAGGTCGCGGAAAACAACACCGCTGTGGCGGGTCTGTTCCTCCTCCGAGTTCTCCTGACGTGTCTTTCCGAACATACGGGCCATAAGCATGTTGATCTCGCTTTCTTCTTCTTGCTCCTCGGCCGTTGAGGATGCACCTGTCCGGCGCCTCGATAGCATCTGGAAGAGTTCATCCTCGTTGTGCGCGCTCTTCGGAAGGTGAAGATGCGACTTCTCCGTCGAGTTAGGAGCGGGCTTCAATGATGCGAGCTGGGGCTCATCTGAGTTGGACGGAGTGCTAGCAGCCGGCGAGGGTATTTGCTCTTTCTCGTCGAGGATCTTCGATCTCTGCGACAAGAAGGCAGCGGCTAAAGGGGCGGCGTCACGGTCATGCGATGCCAGTTCGCCATGCAGGGTACTGGTTTCGGAGGAGGCACCATTAGCGGGCGAGGGCTCGGCACGGGCATCTCGGGCGCCATTTGTAGATCCGAAGTAGGAAGCATTCCCGATGCCACCGCCATTTGAGGATTGCGCAGCACTTTTGCTCGAGTCGGGTATGTAGGACCCAACGCTGTAGTTGACTACTCTGCTGGTAGAGTTGCAGCTCTGTAGAGCTTGCGGCATAGCACCCCCAACGGAGGCCGGAGTCTCAGGGAAACCGCCCGGGACGTCAGTATCAAGTGGTGTCGCACGCGTCTCCATGATGAAAAACCTGTGGGTGAAACTTCCTGGTTATCCAGGCTAAGGATGCTCGATAATGTGTTTAGCGGCAGAACAGATGACCAGATACGAGTGGTCGAATGAGCCGCCCAAGGTGTGACGTGTCTCAGGGGATTTCAATGTAGAGGAGAATCATTTGAGGGCACGACGGTTTGAAGTAGAATATGAAGAGTCCCCTCCGCCCATTGTCAAGGGACGCGGCATACGGCATCAAATAGTCAGATCGGTCATTATGATCCCAGGCCACGGGCCATGGAGCCACGGAGGTCTATCGCTGGAAGTACGAGGCTGACTGTAGCCGAAGGCCGAGAAGGGTCGGAGGGTCTGCCTGGACATCGGGCACTATACTGTCCGAGCTCCTCAAGCATCGCAGCAATGGAAAATCTGTGACGAACTTTGGGGGTGGGATCCATGATGAGATCAGTCTGACGAGTCTTAAGATCATCAAGTAGGTGAATGCCGAGAGTCGGTACGGCAGGCTACCTACGCCAGGCCTCACAATAGGGTCAAACTGAATGAGGTAACGCAACATCAGGCAGATGGCAACGAACCCATGAGGCAGCGCAGTACACATGGAACGATCGTTGACTACCTTACACACTGAGCCTGCTACATCAGTCATCGTGCTGGCGGCACCTGATGACCAGCAGCCTTGAGGCCGCGATGGAGTATGTCAACTTTGTCTACTCACGTACGAGAAGAAAGCGTCCAATTTTTTTTTGGTTTACGGAGACTGCACGATTCGCAGGATATCTGTGTACCTGAGCGCTGTGGTTATCGCAAGCGCTTACACAGCCCGGGAGCGTCGCAAATGCCAAGCTGAAATCCTTCACAAGCCAGACCCACGTCTGGCTCAGTTCTCATGCCGTATCCCGCACTCATTTACTCACCGAGCTTTTCTCAAACCAGCTCAGTGGGCGACGTCGAAGACCCAATCACGCCCCTGACATTATCCCACTATCGTCCTAGTACGCGTCATGACTCTGACCACCATATAGTCGTCATCCACTTCGAGATGTTACAGTTTTGCAAAACTTTAATCGCAAGCACCGATCCCTCTCGGAGCCTGTGAAGGGTACAAGGTCCGCCGCCGATGCCGTGTTTCATTCCTTCTGCCAGAGGTTCGCAAGGGCAGGCTCCGATCGCAATGTTCGCACTAGCCCAGTTCCAGGCTCTGAACTGGCCGGTCCAATCACGCCGACGACTGGGCAATCTCCCGATATTGCTTTTCATGATCGGTTCGTGCCTGTTCATGTGCCGTAAGAGAAGGAAAACAAAGCTGTTATTAGGAGAACGTAGCGAATAAGGTAGCCAGTTGACCACGCCCAGGAGCTGGTGGTGCTTTGGCATGTGACATGCCTGCCACGGCGCTTGATGAATGTCAGCATGCGTAAGTGATGGCCAATCAGTCTCGCAACACCGTCGTGATGACCCAGACGTGGTACCTGATCAATCAAGCTATCCGTGAATGAATTCCACGGAGATTGCGCCACCAGGAGAAAAGCTATGCCGTGTATGCGCGGCTGTCGTTGACAAAACCACCACGAGGGTCTGCGGAATGCGCTCATGTCACGTGATTTGAGACAAGGCTTGGCCGTATGGTATCGCCAGTCGCCGTCGAGCAATATCATGGCCAGTATAGCTGATCTCATAGACCACACCGCACCATTCGCTGTTAAATATTCAAACTTGCTTCAATTGAAAAGGAAGTGTTGCGTTTCATTTTCATCCACCAGGAATCGCACCATTTGACACTGTGTACATCCGTGGACTAATTAATGCTTGATTCTCCTATTGTTTTGAGCGAAGATGAAATGAAGCTCGGTTGATATTTCAGACGACCGAGCATGGAAGAAAAACTGCAGGACTTCGATGGGTGAAAAATGCCCATGAAACACTTCAAGGTGAGATAACCCTGAGTATAAGCTCGATTGTCTTTCTAGTAATAGACACGAAAATTCTGTCCCGGGAACCCCAATACGTGGCTTCTTGAGCCGAACATATCATGTCGCAGCATACCTGAGTTTTCTTACGGAGTAAGAATTTTACTTGTCTCCATCGAAGCTTGACGCAATTGCCGTTTTGGTGTCGGTCCAACTCATCCTGGCCGCAACCGGCGGTAGCATCACGCCGACGGGCGCGAACACCAGACGCCACTCCGAGCGGTCTGAATAAGAAACCTCTTCGCGTCAAGCCCAAAAGGTGCCGTTGAACTTCATTCTCTACCTCATCTCATGACACAGCTTTAAGGCATGGGGCACGTATTGGCAGTGTTGCGGTGGTACTGATTGCTCCATCCTACGACCATGGAGACATCTCATCCACAACCGCGATCTCAACCGATCTTGACTGAATCTATCCGGCGATAGAAATTGACAATAACTCAATCTGCTCTACTTAAAACACTCAACTCATTCTGTGATGTACCGGCGATAATCGTGGCCCCTTACCCGTGAGGTTATATCCATCCATGATGCCCTGCCGCAAGCAGCTTCCATCGTTCCCTACAGCCCAAAGTATGTCTTACACAGGGGAACACCCTTCGTTGTCTGCCAAATCACAAACGAGCGCATCAATCAGATTCGTCATGCAAGTACGGCCCTTGAACAGCAACGCCGGTAGTCATCACGAGAAAACAATCGAGGCTGTGACTGCGCGCTTCACCGACATTCGAACCAATGGAAATCAGACCACAAGTAAGCGAAGCACGAGGAGACTGAGCAAATATGATGGATAACAAATTATTCTTAAGGATAGACATTATGCTAGATCACTCTTTTCGAACCCGAGTGTCCCTGAAACTCGAAAACCGGAAAAGAGAAAAACTCCCCAAAATCATGACCCTAAACGCCCCCTCATGTCCCGTTCTCTAAATGCTGAAATATGTGTGTGCAAAATGTGCAAGGTAGTCGCTCAACTCCTCCCGCTTAGGCAGCAATGCTGACGGCGGTGCCGAGGGTGAGGGTGACGGGCGAGCCGCTGAGGGTGACCCACTGGATGGGGGGCTCGGAGCCGACGACGTCGGCGGTGGCAGAGCCGCCGGCAGCGGTGACGGAGCCGGAGGGGATGGTGACGGGGACGGGGACGGCGCAGGAGTTGCCGTTGGCGGTAACGGTGATGGACTTGATCGAGTTGCCGTCGGCGGCGTAGCCGTAGGAGACCTTGGGCTTGCAGGCGTCGAGGGTCTTGCGGTCGATGAAGTACTTGCCGATGTCGTCATGCTTGAGGGTGGTGATGGGCCAGTTGGTGAGGCGGGTCATCTCCTGGGCAATGGTCTCGACCCAGGCCATGACGAGGGACATCTTGGCCGTCTTGGTGCCGACGGTGATGGTGGGCTGATCGTTGAAGCGGAGGTTGGCCTGGTGGAACATGTAGGGGTCGGACTGCAGGCTCATGAGGTAGCGCGTGTTGGTGGCACGGGCGTTGTCAAGGAGCGTTTTGAAGTCGCCAGTGCCGGCCGAGGTCTCCTTCCACTCGCGGAGCGTGCACTCGGCCGTGTCGCAGTTGTAGTAAATGGTGGTGGCGAAACGAGGGATGATGTTGAGGCCGGCGTAGCCGTTGTCGGCGACAGTGCTCGTCAGGGGGTGGTACTTGTTGCCGAGGTTGCGCAGGGGGTTGCGCGTGTTGTCACCGACAACGTTGGTGATGCCGTTGTCGATCCAGGCCTTGATGGCGTCGCCGTTGTGCATGCCGGTGATGGCAGGGGGGACGAGGCCGTGGGCAGAGAAGCGCGTGGCCTGGTCGATGCCCATCTGCTTCATCCAGGCCTGGTTGAACTGGATCTCGCGCTTGACGTCGGCGTAGGTGGCGTTGTTCAGCGACATGTGGGAGAAGGTGTGCGAGAGATGGCCAAAGGCGTCACGGTTGGCAGCCTTCTGGAACCAGACGGCAAAGCTGTCGCGGTCGGCACAGGCCTTGGTCCAGTTGTAGGTGGTGAACATGTCGGGCCAGTAGTCCTGGCCGGTGCCGAGGGGCTTCTGGAACTCAAGAGCAGTGGCAGGGAAGTCATCCTGGTAGACGGCCGTGTCGGGGTCGCAGTAGTTCTCCGAGCCGGAGCGGGTGGTGGCGGCCTCGATGTCGCCGTTGCCGTTGTGGGCAAACTCGAGCCAGAAGGAGGAACCCTGGGGCAGGCGAGTGTTGAGGTTCTTCTGCCAAGAGACGTGACCGTTGAGATCAGCTGTGGTGCTCTTGTAGTGACCGCCGGCAGGGTAGTACAGGTCGGTGCCGAGCTGGACATCATCGATCTGGGCGCTCAGGTGCGTCTTGCGCTTGCCAAGGAAAGCACCGCGGGTCATCCAGTGGATGTGAGCGTGCTGCAGGTAGTTGGAGGTGGACGACCAGTCAGGGGCCCACGAGGTGAACCAGACAAACTGCTCGCGGCCGTCGATCTTGTTGATGACAGCGGCGACGGTCTCCGAGGTGTACGTGCCACCGGTGCCGAACTTGGCGACCTGCTTGGTGGTGGCCGTGTCCGTGATGGACGCGGGGTAGTGCCAGAGGCCCTGGCTGGTGACACCGGCGTTCCTGGAATCATGTTAGTCAAAGATGCTTCAACGAGAGGAGCAGGGGTTGTGCTGCGCGTGGGGCACTCACTTCTTGATGTTGGCAGTGGGGAAGGCGGAAACGTCAGTGAAGCTGATGAGCTGCTCAACACCGGCGCCGCAGCAGCCGCCGCCGACAGTGGTGACACCGAACTGGGGGCCGGGGTACTCGTTGATGCGGACCATGCGGACGCGGAAGTCGGCCTGGTAGGAGTGGATGGCAGCCCACTGCTCAGAGGAGAAGGCGCTGTGCCAACCGTCATCGTACTCGTAGGCGAGGGCGTCGGTGACGATGATGCCACCGTAGTTGCCGTGCTTCAGAGTCGAGTTGAGCTTGGGCAGGTCACGGCCCTCCTTGGGCACGATGTAGTGCTCATAGTTGATGCCGTAGCCGACGAGGCCAGCGCTGCCGAGAGAGGCGCTGTACTCGTCACGAGCGAGGATGAGAACGGTGCCGGCGACACCAGCGGCATCGCTGTCCGAGCCGTCCGAAGCAGGGGCGTCGGTGGCCTGGACGGGGGCAGCCGTGGCGACGGTGCCGGTGGCAGTGGTGATGACAGGCACGGCAGACTCCTGGGGGTTGTTGTTGGTGTCAGAGGGGGCAGGGGAGGCCACGGCAGAGCCAGACGCCTGCCTGGCATCGAGAGCAGGGGCAGGGTGGGCCGAAGCCAGCATGCCCAGGACAGAGACGAGGCCGATCTGGCAACGCATGGTGTCCTGCGGTTGGGCTGAAAACGGAAAGGTGTTGGGTGTGAAGAAGGGGGGCCGAAGTAGGAGTCGACAGGCTCAGGTGAGTCGTCTGGTAGTTGGATGCAGGTGGATCAGGGATGAGGGAAATGAGAGAACAAACAAGTGTCAAGAAATGGGGGTGATGACAAGGTCTTGTAGGAGTCAGGTGGAGAAGAGAAGGCTCTTCTTCTTGTTGTTGTTGCTGCTGTGTGATGATGAGGGGGACAAGAGATGGCAGATGGAGACGTGAGGGCCCGAGCAATAAGTACTCGAATCGAACACGAGGTTGGATGCTCAGGAGAGAGGTACTATTCTCAGCTGTAGATCTCGAGGGGCCACCCGTCAGCCAGCCATGTGCGTCCTCCAACCCGCCTGCATGGTCGTGAGAGCCACTGACAGCCCATTGACAAGCCCGCCATCGACACCATTGAGAGCCAGGCCCAGCATCGGCCAGGGCGAAATAGAGAAAAGAGTCGAGACCGCCACGCCTCACGGCACCGCAAAGCTTGACGAGCCCACCTTGAGCATCTCTTTTGGGACTTAGGGCTGCCAGCTGGAGGGACGGCCTGGACGGAAAAGAACCAAGTTTAGGGTGTGGGGATCCAGGGTCAAAGGGTAGATGGTCAGCCATGTCTCAGCCCCCGGAGAGCCTGGCCTCTGGGGCGAGAGCGAGAGCAGTGAGAGCAGCCAGAGCAGCGAGGCGTCAGCAAGGCTCGATTCACGCTTGGGTAGAGCTGGTGGGCGCGCCGCCGTGATGCTTTACTGCATCGGGACGGATGAGCGGTCTTCGGCCACCGGACCATGTGGGTAGACGTGGATAGCTAGCCCCGTCGTCTTTCGGGGTCCAGCTCCCACGCAGGATTTGAATTTTTGCGCAGAGCTATGACATTTGCGTCGATGTCGGGAAGCATCTCAGGGTCTGGATCTTTGTTCCTCAGTTTTTAGCCTTCGCCATTCTTCCCTTTGTTTGTCCATGTCGTTCCTGATCCAGAACTCTGGGGTTGCAGATGCCGGAAAGCTCTGGGGCATGAAGGCGACGGATTTGGTGATCCCATCCATCCCCCGGCTGGGCCCAGGCTCAGGTCTCGATGCAGAGCAAAACCTTCCCCGGAGTCCCAGAGGCCCGGGACGACGGGGTCTTTGTTCAATCTACGCGCTGCCAAGCGGCCACCAGTTTCCCATAATGGTCTGAGTTCTCGCCTCATCGATATCGCTTCAGGCATGGTCTCTTCTCGTTCGGGCCTGGCTGATCTGATCTGGTTTGGTTGATGTGATCTACCTATCCTGGCCCCATCCATGGCCGATCAGCCTCGCCTTGGATTGCCCTCATTCATGTCAACCAGCTTTTTGGGAGGATCAGAGATGGAAAGATCAGCTGCCGCGATATAGCCTGACCTCTGGAAGCTCGGCGTCAACAACCAGCGGTCTGGCGGTCAGCTCAACAAACTTTGACCGACCAGAGGAAACTAGAGGACGACAGGAGAAAGGAAGCAGGAAAGGAAAAAAAAAAGCCACATCGGAATTTTCCATCCGATGATTGTTGAACACGAACATGACAAGAGGTCCTCACCGATTGCGGCGGAAGGATTGCAATTTTCGCCTCCTCCTTGCGTTCTTCCTTTGCCCGTCTGCCACGCGATCAATAAACCTGCAGGTGCCTGACCGACTGACTCCAGCGTGCGCCAGGGCGGGCTTCGGATTCGCAGCCTCAAGGATGGGCACGCACACAGCAGACGCACAATGGAGACGGGTGGCGGGCGCGCCACACACCCTCAGCGTGTGTGCCGCTGACAGATGCGCTGGTGGCAGACGGCTCACACCGAGACGAGACGAGACCAGACGAGCGAGAGCGAGACGAGACGAAAATGCCGTGGTTGGTGGTGGTGGTGGAGGTGGTGGGCACAAAGCGCACCAGGAACCAGAAACCAAATCTTCGGCGGGAGGGCCCTCGGGCAGTGAGTGGTCCGATCCTGCCGTGCTCAATGCCACTGTGCCCTTTGTGTGGATGAGAGAGAGAGAGAGAGAGACAGAGAGCGAGAGAGACACGCACGCCCCCCTCCCTCTTCTTTTCGGACCTCGTGTTGGCGCAATGGCAGCATGAGACGGAAAAGTTGCGACGATTCGACACCAGTGGAAGCGCTACCAGTAGCCCACTTCAGGTGGTGTCAGCTTAAGAAAAACCCCCCTTTTGATCCCCCTCTCCATCGACCCACACGGGATGAAACCCCCGGGGGTGCGTGTGCGGGGGTGAACGCTGTGCAGGCGTCGATCACTCAGGGGGCCAACTGGGGCCATTGGGGGTCATTAGGGGTGCAGGCAGGGGGTTTGATGCACATGCATGACTACGTGGCACAGGTCAAGACAAAATAAACACTGGACAGGGCCCCTGGTTCGTATGCAGAACGGCAGAACGGTACAAAAAAAAGCAAGGATCTAGAGAGTCTCATGCGGAGCACGTCAATTTGATTATTGATCTTGGCACACCTGGTTCTGTCTGGCTGTCTGAGTAATGCGCGGGTGCAAGGAAGAAAAAAAAAAGACGAAGAAGCACCCAAATCCTCCGCCAACAACGTAAGAGAGTAGGGTGGTCTGGTGATCGTGGGCTCCGTCAGGCCATTTTCAAGGGTTCATGTCAGCTTCGCAAATTGAATGATGGCATCTCGTCATTCTGGCTAGCTCCCTGGCCAGTTGACCGGCTGGTTCGCTGGCCGGTTCACTCTGAAGGCCATTTAGGCGGTAAGCAGGCAGAGTGTATTTTTTTACCGGCCACGTAATTAACTCCCCTGGTTGATGGCCTGTTGTCGGTTGTCTTCTTTTTTTTCTGTTGCACACGCCCCCCTTCCTCTCCCACTACTTGCCTTGTCAGGAGCACCTTTTCCTTTTTGAGGAGAGATGAGATGAGCAAGTTAAGTAGGTTTGGACCAAGTCGTTTGGTGGCGCCACCAAAATGAGAAATGGCGAGGAAAAAAAAGCTTGAGGACAAAGGTTCACACAGAGAAGCTAGGTGCTTCCACTAAGCCAGAAATCGGAAAAGAGGCTCCCGTGGCCTCGGATCAGATTACACCTGCTGGGGAGTAGGTCTGCAGAGTGGAGGAGGGGGGGGGGGGGGGTGAGCAGTACAGGCGCTTGGTCCAGTTTGGTCTGGTCTGGCGAGCATCGACGACGAGAAAGAGCGAGAGAGAGACACTCACCGGTAGAGGTACATGGCGAGGTTCGAGAGCCTCCTGCTTGTGCACGCCATAGCGCCGGTGAGAGCAGCGTCAGAGCAGCTTACCGAATGTGGGTTAGGTGTATGCACTTGGCTGGGGCCAGATCGTCAGGGCCCTCGCCTGAAATAGGATCCTCATGGTCCTCAGCGGTGTGAACACGGCCGAAAGGGGAAATGGGCGATCGTGGGGGAGAGCCCTAGGGACCCGTTTTGGGGAGCCGCCAAGGCCGAGGCCCCAGCCCTCCTGGCCTGGTGAGGTACCTATGTAAGGAGGCTTGGTAGGTACCAGGCTCAGGCGGGCCAGCACCGCTCAGGCTGACTGGGGGTACCTACCAGGCAGGGTACAGTCTTAAAGAGAGGGCTGAGCTTGCGGGAAGCTCCTTGATTTGTTGATGTTGAGGAAGGGGAGGCCTGCGGGACAAGCGGGTCCCAAGCGCCCAAAGCACGACAGACACTCCACACTCCCAGGCACCCAGCAGGTGCTGACCACTGATCGTTCTTGCCTCCCATCTACTTCGGTACCTCCCTCGAGCATGGCAACGTCAGGTGCCTAGGCAGACACCCAAAGCTCCAAGCGCAAGGCTCTCAGGGGACTTCACCCGCTGAAAGAATGGTGTGAGGTCCCCTAAGCAGCACCCCTCACCCACCCCCACCCCCTTCTGGCAGGCTCGACCCTTGGGCCTGGGCTTGTGCGAGCCACGCAAGCTGCACCTAAAATGTCGCCGACAAAGGCCCCCCCCCCTTTTCCCACCAAACACAAACTCATATTGATCCACGACTCGCTCCTCTTCAGCACAATTGCTCATTGCTCCACGAGAACCATCTGTTCACCTGCCTGCCGTTGAGGGAACTATTGAAATCTACCATCAGCCACTCGTTCTTTGGTTTGCAGAAGACTTCTCTTTTTTTTTTTTTTTTGCTACGGTAAAAAAATCCCGCATCAGCCGGCGTCGTCAGCTTCATCGGCCGACTCTGTCAGCTTCCTGCCTCCGCTCACATTCGGTTGAGGATCATCATCATCCCTCAGATCATCAGCCCCTCAGCCATCTCACCATCGATCGATCTTGGGTTTGCCCTTTCTCAACTCAAAAAAGACCTGTCTTTGTCCTGTCGGCGATAGATCTCCCAGCTCGGCAGGTCCATCATCCCCACAAGGCCCGGTCGATCCTCTCCAGAATCTCCCCTCCTCCGGTCTCACTCGCATCTCACCCACCCACCTCATCCCACTCCCACCCCTGCCCCCGCCCATCCTCCCAATATGCCGCCCTCTGCAGACGTTGCCTCTGCCGACTCGCTCCACGCCGAGCCCAAGGCCGCCACCGCCAAGCCGCGATGGCCGCTATGGAAGAAGCTCGCGCTCGTGGGCGTCGTCCTAGTCGTCGCCATTGCTCTCGCCGTCGGTCTTGGTGTAGGCCTGAGCAACCGAGGCGGTGGCGATGATGATGAGAACAACAACGACAACGGCAACAACAATGGCGGCGGCGGTGGTGGTGGAGGCGGCACCGGCGGTGGCAACTCGACCAGCCGCGAGTCCCTCTGGCAGCCCGAGGCCGGCGCGTCGTGGCAGATTGTGCTCATCAAGCCCATCGAGGTGCCCGCGAGCGGCGACGTGACGCCCGACGTCGACGCCTTTGATATTGACCTCTTTGACAACTCGGACGAGACGTTTTCGCGCCTGCGCGAGGCCGGCAAGAAGGTCATTTGCTACTTCAGCGCCGGGTCGTGGGAGGACTGGCGCGATGACAAGGATGACTTTGGCGACGACAACCTCGGCAAGGAACTCGACGGCTGGCCCGGCGAGAAGTGGGTGGACGTGGCCAGCGACGGCGTCCGCAACGTCATGAAGAAACGCATCCAGCTCGCTGCCAACCGCGGCTGTGACGCCATTGACCCCGACAATGTTGACGGCTTTGTGAGTTTGCTGGACGAGGAGCCTCATGAACGAGCACGAGACTAATACCAGGCACAGCAAAATGACAACGGCCTCGGCCTGACCAAGGAGAACGCCATTGACTTTGTCAAGTTCCTCTCCGAGACGGCCCTGCAGTACAACATGTCGACGGGCCTGAAGAACGCCGGCAGCATCATCCCCGACGTTCTCGAGGACGTCCACTTCTCGGTCAACGAGCAGTGCGTGCAGTTCTCCGAGTGCGAGACGTTTGCGCCCTTCATCAAGGACAACAAGCCCGTCTTCCACATCGAGTACCCCAAGGACGCGCCCAGCGTGTCGTCGACGGCCTCGAAGAGGGTGTGCACGCCCACGGGCGAGGCGGCCGGCACCGACGGCTTCAGCACCGTCATCAAGAAGATGAACCTCGACGGGTGGGTCGAGTTTTGCGACGGCGAGAAGTTCAACACGACCTTGGACGTCTGAGCAGCCTGCCCCATCGTCCTGTCACTCCCTCGTCCCGACGCCGTCGATACAGCTGTGCAGCAGCAGCATGGTCCGGACGAGAACGAGGCCAGCCAACCGAAGCCACAGGCGAGGCACCACGGCTGCCGGGCTACACATAATCACCAATCTATTTCAGTCATTCATGCCAGGGTTCAGCATTGGGAGTCGGTTTTTTTCTTGTTTTTCCTTACCGTGTTGGTTTTACCCGATGTTCCCTGTCACCCCGGATGTCACGCTCGGTGCTGTCAATTTGGCGCCCTCACTCGCCATGCCGAACCCATGCCCCTGAGCCGAGCCACATTGGTTCCCAAGTCGAGCGAGCCACAGGTTCTGCCGGCGTCGGGAATTGTCTCGTCCGGGACAAGCGACGGCGTGGGGCATGGGGGATGGCGTAAGACCAATCTATGTACATGTACGTTGTATGCACGCATGCAGTCGACCTAGAACCTAAAACATAATTATTCACAAGAGGATTCAATATCCGACGCACCTTTCTTTGTCGAAAAAAGCCACAATGATGGCATGACGGTCATGAAGGTCCGTCGATCCATGTAGGCGCTGACAAGGGGCGAGACAGCCTGGAACCCCCTCCCCCAAGGCCCAAGGGTCACCGAGCCAGCATCTCGGCGGTCAGATCACCGACGCACCTTTTTCCCATTGTTCTTCTGGTGGCAGGCGATCGCCCTCGCTGTGCGCTGTGCGACGCGGGACGAAAAGCCCAGATGGCTGACAGCGGTTCGCGACTCTGGGCCAAAACACCACACGGCACGGCACAGCACGCAACACGTTGAAGCGCAGCCATCCGCCAGCCGCCCCCTTCGCACCTCGTGTTTGTGTGCGGCCCCCCCCCTTGTCGGCGCGGCAGACCGGGCAGAAGAGGGGCGCCGCGCAGATCTGACTCGTGCCGCTGTGGACTGGATGGACCCCTAGTCGGAGGAGCGATGAGTGCGAGTTCAAATACCGGGGCGCTGATGACCACCACCACCACCCGATATACCCATGCTCGCTTATTCTCTTGGTCAACCGACTTAGTTTCATGGTGACGAGAGAAACTGAGGATGAGAGCACGTTGAGCTACACTTACAACCAGTCAACCAACAAAAAGCCTGGCACTTAGTTTCCGTGCCGCAGATGCACGTCGAATGTAACCTCCGCACCCTCTCTAGCCACCCATCTTCTCCTCATCGCTCTTCTCTTCACTCAATCCAAAGGGCTCACTCAGCCTCTCCTTCTGTCAGCCGGCTCACCAGCCTGCCAGACCCGCAATCCTCCTCCCCCCCGCAATCGACGCAAGGAAAACACGCGTTTAGGTTGCAGTCAGCGCCGCGTCGCATCACCACCACACCACCACGACTATTTTTCAACAATCGCATTCTCGCCGGTCACCCCATCCTCTGCCCATTGTTTCATTGTGGCAGCAGCTCTCATTTTCACGGTTGATTGATTTTCCGGCCGTCAAGCCACGTCACCCTCGGGTACAGTAAACAACAAACAAACAGGGAAGAGATCCGCGTCGGCTGCCCACCATGTCAGCTCATCCGCCCAATCCCAGCAGCGCGTCACAGCAGCAGCAGAAGCAGCAGAAACAAAAGCAGCCTCATCAAATCATGCGGCCCGTCGTCTTCATCCCCTTGTACATCTACCCCTTTGACACGGCCTGGGAGCCTCTGGTCCGGTCGGCCGCCACGCACCCGTCGCTGACGTTCGTGACCGTCGTCAACCCCAACAACGGTCCAGGCCCCGACCCGCGGCCCGATGCCAGCTACGTCGCCGCGCTGCATCAGCTCAGCGCGCTGCCCAACGTGCAGCTGCTGGGCTACGTGCACGTGAGCTACTGCACGCGCAACCAGTCGGAGGTCGAGCGGGACATGGACGTGTACCGTGCGTGGAACGACGACCTCGTCAGGGGGGGCGCTGCCACTGTCAATGGAGAGGAGGCCGACGAGGAGGCCGAAGAGGCCAGCGGCAGCCTGCGCGTCGACGGCATCTTCTTCGACGAGACGCCCTGGGACCCGAGCCACCAGGACTACATGGCGCGGCTGACGCGGTACGCGCGCAACGCCTGGGAGCGGCCGGCGCCGGGCGGCGCCCCCGGCGGCGACGCCGTGCTGGCGCTCAACCCGGGCGTCGTCGTCGAGCCGCGCTGGTACGAGGACGCCGACTATGTCGTCGTCTTTGAGCAGTCGGCTCAGCACTGGGACGACTACTTTGTCGGCGAGGGCCTGCCGCAGATCCCGGACGCGCTGCGGCCCAAGTCGGTGGCCATTGTGCACACGGTCAACAGCAGCAGCAGCAGCAGCGCCGACGGCAACGTGGACGACGAGGCGGATGAGGCTTGCGCGCTGGCGAGGCGCATATGCCACCTCGGCCTCGGTGGCGCGTACCTGACGGATGAGGTCGATGGCGGGTACACGAGGTGGCCCGCCATGTGGGAGGGCGAGCTCGAGATGCTGGCCAGAGTCAATGGCAGTAGCAGCAGCAGCAACAGTACGAACTCGAGCAACGGCACTGCGCACGAGCAGTAGCAGTACCAGTCGCCGTCACTGTCTTGTCGCTGTCGTCGGAGCCGTAGCAGGGGCCCCCCTTCATCCGTCGGGGGTTATTTGATGACACTATGGCGCGCCGTGGTGACCAGGTTCAGGGGCCTGCCGTCAGCTTCGCTGCGCGCCGACGGGCATTGGTCGGGCTGTTTGGTGCATCTTGGTAGGAGGCCACCGGAGCAGGCTTCACCAGCAGGAGCGGGCTTCACCCGCAGGAGCAGGCTTCGAACTCGATGCCAAGCTCGATGCACCTACGACATCGGTGGTGCAGGCAGGTGACCAAGCCGGGTTGACGGAGCCGAAGCGGTGGACATTGGATCACGGGCGATCATTTCGTTTTAGCGTCCCGTGCGTTTCTTCTCGATCCCACTGCAACGCCTGGTCCCCTGATTTCCTCGTCTCGATCGGCGGAGGATCCCTGGCGTGCCGTATCCACTCACTCGGCATCGAAGCGCAGGGCGAGGGCCGACCGCAACGGCGAGAAGGTTGGTGGGCTTCAGGTGAGCAGGGGGATGAGAGGGGCCCTGGTGTGGAGGTCTGGGTCCGAGGTTAAGTCAAAGCCTAAGCCTGAGGCTAAGCCTGAGCCTAGGTGGCCACGTCCCTCCAGGGGCGGCCTGTTTGGTGGATTTTCTTTGACGACCGTTGAGCAGGGCAGTGGACGACTGGGAGAGACACTGGTGCAGACGACAAGCGGTGGAGCGTGAATAGAATAAACTTGCTTTTTCTCGCTCTTCTTCCTTGCGCAGCAACGTAGCAACGCCGGACCATGGGCTGGGGGGCGGCGGTCAGAGAGCCCCTGAACCTGGACGACGTGCAGTGCAGTGCATTGTGCATTGTGCGTTCGAGGGGGGTGAAGTGGAATACGGCCGAGTGTCTCAAGTGTGTACGAGGACCCCCCTCTATGAGCCCCCTTCACTTGGCCCCCATTGCTTGGTCTCATCATTGGCCCCTTCACTTGGCCCCCATTGCTTGGTCTCACTCATTATTGGCCTCATCACTTGGCCCCCAAAGCCAACCTGCAGACCCCCATCCCAATACCAGGACACCCCCCCCGGCTGTCGCACGATGAGGGCCCAATAAGCTTGTTGTTCCTTCCTTTCTCCCCTTGGGCCCTCGTGTCTCTCGCTTATTTGCGTCGTCCGTGGGCTCTCTCTGCCATGATGCAGGAATAATCCGATGTTTGTCCAGACAATTGTTTGGACCAGGGGCTCCGATGTCGAAACATCCAAGGCCCAAGCAAGGCATCCAGGGGGGTTTCTTTGCTCGCGCGCACGTCACCGCCATGGACCCCAGCGCTAGAGTTCGTATCTGCGGACACGTTCCCCCTTCACCTCTTTTTTTATTTCTTTTATCCGGATTGCCATGGCCTATTGTTCGTTTGACTGCTTCATCACCATGTGAAAACTCTGCCACCCCTTGATGCCGGTTGACGTCGACGCGGGCTGACATGGCCGTACGAGGCCGTATTACTCGACTGCTTACCTACCTTGGGTACCTACCTTGGGTGTATTTGTGTCCATCTGCTCCACATGAGCGCATCGTGGGACAAGGTGCCCATACGGCGCCGTCTCACCGATGACGGACGGCCCCTCATGTCGAATCGCGCGGTACTGACTATTGCATCGAAAGGTAGGGGGACAGATTGTCCAATCGGCGTCACGCGAAATGGCGGCCGCTTCGGCGTCTTTTTCTCCCTCTCTCTCTCTCTGCTTCTTCTTCTTCTTCTTCTTCTACCTCGCTGGCGTCCTTAGGGGCCGCCCACCAGACTATTTCAAGATCAGATGCAGTAGCGCGCGCCTTGTTGGGCCCGCCCCGGACGAGTCAGATGCCGAGCGAGAGGGCGGGCCAGGTTCAGGGGGGACAGGGGCATTGTTCACAGGCCTCTTCGGGATGCTGTGGGGTCGATCCCGAAAAGATGGAGAACAGACAAAAGAATACGAACAAAGAAGCGCAGATTGCCTTGCCTCTGGCGTGGTCGGCGGGGGGTTTTTTTTTTTTACTCTTTCTTGTCTTTCATGTCGGAACAAGCCATGGTGCGAAACTCAAGTGTCACGATGGGAGGAGTCATGGAAGAGTGGAAGTTTACCAGATGGGGACGAGTTGGAAGCGTATAGCAGATTAAGTAATCATTCTTGTTATCCTTTTTTGTAAGAGATGCCGGTGTTTTTTGCGGCCCGTTCGTCATTACCACATTATAACTTTCTGTGTGTGTCCTTTTTTGTGCTCGCCAACGAGAGAGAAACATAGGAAATGAAACAGGCCCCAAAGAGAGACAATAAAAAATCCCAAGACACACCAAAAAAAAGCTACCCCCATAACGCCCTGAGAGCCAGGTCCTGTATAGCAACCCTTTGGCCCTCTAAAAAAAAGCCCGGACACCAAAGCCGAAGATGCCGGCGCAGCCCGTTCATTACCTGAAATCCAAACAAACCCACTGTCAGTGCAGAGTCTAGTCTAACCGTTTTGCGGCAAAAGCAAAAGCGCCGAGGGCCGTGCGCTCGTGCATCATGGCAACCCTGCGCTCGCGCCAACGTCTGACGTCGTGCGTGCAATTCGTGATGCATGTCGTTCGCGCCGAGATGCATGTCGTCGCGCCGAGACGCAGAACGCTCGAGAGCAGAAGGCTCTCACGCCTGGACGGCGCGCGTCTTGGAGACAAAGTTCCACAGGTCGCGGGCGCACTGGGCGATGCTCTCGGTGGCGACCCAGCCGAGCTCCTTGGTGGCGCGCTCGTTGGCGGCGACGCAGAAGCCGACGTCGCCCTCGCGGCGCGGCGCCAGGCGCGCGGGGATGGCGCGGCCGGCGGCGGCCTCGAGGCTCGCGACGGCCTCGCTGACGGTGGTGCCGTTGCCGGTGCCGAGGTTGAAGGTGCGGAAGGGGGCGTCGACGCCGGCGGCGAGGGCGGCAATGTGGCCGCGCGCGAGGTCCGAGACGTGGATGAAGTCGCGCACCGCCGTGCCGTCGCGCGTCGCCCAGTCGGTGCCGAAGACGTCGAGCTGGGGCCGGTCGCCCGTGAGCACCTGCGTGATGACGGGGAACAGGTTCGTCGGCACGCCCTTGGGGTCCTCGCCGAGGAGGCCCGACGCGTCGCAGCCGATGGGGTTGAAGTAGCGCAGCGCGATGATGCGCCAGCGCGGGTCCGAGTAGGCGAGGTCCGCGAGGATCGCCTCGCCAAAGTACTTGGAGCGCGCGTACGGCGACTGCAGGCCCGACACGTCCGGCATGGCCGTCTGCTGCCGGCCCGCGGCGTCCGTGTACGTCGTCGCGTGGTGCACGAGGTCCTCCTCGCGCAGCGGCTGGCCGGCGTCGGCCTTGGTGCCGTACACGGTGGCCGACGACGAGAAGACAAAGTTGACAATGTTGTGCTTGCCGAGGAGCTCGAGCAGGTCGACGAGCCCGCAGACGTTGTTGCGGTAGTAGGCCATGGGGCTGGCGATCGAGTCGCTGACCGACTTGAACGCGGCAAAGTGGATGACGCCCGAGATGCGCGACTGCCTCGTGAGGCGCGGCGCGCCGCCGGCCGTCTCCGAGGGCACCGTGACGAGGTCAGAGTACGACTCGAGGAGGAAGTGCATGGCCTTGCTGCGGTAGTCGACCTTGTGGAACTGGATCTCGCCCATGGGCTTGCGGTTGGCCTTGCACCACGTCTCGGCCGCTGTCCTGACGCGGCTGAGCACGTCGTGGAAGCTGTTGCTCAGGTCGTCGACGATGATGACGCTGTAGCCGGCCTTGAGGAGCTCGAGCGATGTGTGCGAACCGATGAAGCCGAGACCACCGAGCACGAGAATGTACTTCCTGTTGGCGTTGGTGCTGGGCGCGAGCGTGGCATAGCCCTCGTTGTCCGAGTCGGGCTCGGGTGTTGTGATGGCAGAGCTGTTGTTGGAGAAGAGGGAGACGGGCGAGGCCGCACCGGAACCAAGGCGGCTGTCCATTGTGATGTGTGTGTGTGTGTCTTTCTGTGAGAAACAGAAAAAAGAGGAGGGTGGGGCGAAGGAGGAGGGGGGGCGTAGGAAGCTGGTGAGGGCTTCGTACGGGAGAGAGGGTGAAGAAAAAGGGGTAGTAGTGTTGTTTGTGGGTGTGAGAGGAGACTTATGTCCTAGGTGGTAAAGGCCAGGGATGATGATGAGACCTTTGAGTAGGAGACTGGGGATATAAGTGTGTAGGGTGGGATGGGAGTGTGTTTCCACGAGGAGATATAAAGAAAGATGGTGGTAGTAGTCGTGGTAGAGTAGTAGTCTGTGCTGGACTGATGATCTTCCAAGGGTAAACAAGCTTATGGACGGGCGAGATCAGGGGGTTTATGAAGGCCGAGACGTCTGGGCGATGATGGGCACATCTTCGTCCAAGCTCGCCCTCGATGGGTTCGCCGACATGGTGGTCTCCGGTGGGAGCGGGTCCTCACCACCTTCCGGCTGAACCTGAAGTCAACATGGGCCGTCCGAACGAGCAGTCTCGAACAAGTACAGCTCCATGACGAGATTATTGGGTTCCAGCCCGCCACGGCATGTATGGCAGAGACCTTGGGCTGAACGTCTCGCCTCGCCCGGCGGGGAGGGGGGCCCAGGTCCCGTCGCCGCGGTGCGTGTACCTCGTCCGGCCGCCCCTCCCACACACCCCCTGGTGATGGTTCCAGGGCAGCAGCACATGGGAAAGGAAAGCAAACTCTAACCTCAAGAGAACTAACGCCAGGTGAGGCTGCGAACGGTGCGAAGAGTCGGTATAACGGGTGATGGTCCAGCCCCAGCCAGCTGGGACCCTGGAGACGGGGTAGCCACATGTGAATAGGCAATACCACCTTGGCGGGTCATTGTCGTGGGCTTCGTGGGCTTCGTGGGCTTCAAGGGCCAACAGCTTTCTTTGTCTCCGAGCTGTACTCGCCGCGTGGAAGAGGAAGATGCCGCGAGCTAAAGGACCAGGCGCCAGCGAGCACCAGAAGCGGTCCCTAGGGGTTCAGGTGTTACCAGAAAGGTGGTAATGAACAATGA